GAACTACGTAGATACTTGTAGGCCCAGCCTGCACGTCTTATATAGCCTACCGGCTGACACAGGACGCTAAACCAAAATAATAATAATAATAATAATACAGGTTATTTTCGTGCAAATTATACGAACTGAGTAATAGCACACTATTAAAGATTATACACCACTAAACGTGAGAAGACTTTGAACGCTTACTCCACTGAACCCACGTCTGCATAACAGTTCCCGTCCACGGTGAATGGGAAATTCGGCAACAACCATGGCGCTCATATTCTCAACAGCAACACCAGCCCCTTCTAATATCTGCAGCACTGCACAAAGCGTTTCGCCTGTAGCCAGCGTGTCATCTACCACCACGATTGGACTGTTGTTAGGTACTGCGCTTCGTTCAATCTCTATGCGCTTCTGTTTCGAGTCGCCGCGGATCAAAGATGAAACATGCGACCGAGATTTCACAGCAGAAACAGTGGGTGGGGGAAGCTTAGCAGCTTCGCGTATGAGTACTAAGGGGACGTTGACCCGCAAAGACAATGCAGAAGCAAAAACGATGCCACCGACCTCGCAACATGCCACCGCAGCGACGTTGCTCCAGTCGCCAATGAAATGATTCTGTAGGAGAGACGTGCACAAAGCCAGCCCGTTCGGCTGTTGAGAAATGCCGAGCACATGGCGGAACACGACATTCTTGTGTGGGAAGTCGGGTACTAGACGTACCATGTCAGCAAGTCGCAGTAAGTCTTCGTGAACCAAGGGTAACAGGTTGTTCTTGAACAAGATTCTCGCAGCTTCATTGCCGTGCACTTCGTTGCGGAACACGGCACTGGGTCGGTAGCTCAACGCCTCCTGATGTGGCTTGACTGGTTCAATCGCTTCGTCACGTGCAAGACTCATGCCCTCATGATTACACCCTTTGCGCGATCGTCGTGTTTGTTCACTGGCTTGCACATAAACCTCGAGAAGCTTGCTATTTGGCACAAGATGCGACAAGGCAGCAACAGGTGCTTTGTCTCGCATACCGGTGATCACAAGTACGCCCACATCGGCAGCACCATGTACCACTCGCATGAATTGCTCCTCTGGCAGCCAGGGTTGGTGCTGTAGTTTTTCCATGAAGTATGCTGTCAGGGCTGGGCGGTGCTGCTCCTTGTACGCGCGATCAGAAAGCAGCCGATCAGGGTCGGCACCAGTAGCCACCGCGTATTCCCGCTTGGTCGCTTCACTGATGCTCACAGCGCGAGTCGTGAGGGCATGTTCTGCGAACATGGAGACCCACACATTGGCACAATAGTCTTTGCCAGCACAGCTTTCACCGGTGACGAGAAGGATGAGCTTCGGACCCAATGGCGGTTTCGGGAGTGGACAGGCGTAGGCCAGCACATTTCGCGGATCCAGCCTATTTTTGAGTTGAATGAGCGGTTGCCGGTTGACGCCAAAGGCTTTGCTAGCAAGTGTAGCATCCCTCGGGTCAGGTCCGAGGTCGGCGCAGTATGCCCCACTAGATAAAGGCAGCAAGTCATCTGCAACACTGTAAACCCATTCTACAGCGGCCCGAGCGATTCCGGTGTCATCTTGATCGCGAGGCCAAACACCAGTTATTACACAAGCAAAGTGCCAGTCTCGACAGCCAAAAGCAGTAGCTTCAGCCGCGATGTCACTAATCGCCTCTCCTCCTTGCAGTAGATGAAGGTAGCACAGTGGTGACGGGCGAGCTTCCATGGCTACCACCAACCGCTCAGCTACCTTGGGATTGCCTATGTCTTTCATGAACAAGCAACGCTTGAACGAAGACGTTTTGCCCCTGCCATGACCACCATGCATCTTCGAAACGTACATTTCAGTCTCAAACAGACCGACGCTGTCTACCACCTTGACCTCGTCTTCCTCTGCTCCGAGATGTGAATTAACGGTCGTGGAGAACGAACATTTCGACGCGGCGGATGAGGTTGTAGACTCAATCATGGTGAAGCCAAGATGCAGTTGACCATCTTCCCAGTATAGGTAGGCATCTGCAGAACAGTTTCGGCTGAGCTTCCTCGCAATAAGTTCGTCAAACCGGCCAAGCTTGAGCTGCGCTTCAAGACTACCGCTGAGTGGCACAACCCAGTTCCGAACGATATATACTGGAGCCGTGTAAGCCCTGAACGTTACACTGACGACGATGCCGAGGTTTGTTCCTGCGCCTCTTAACCCCCATAGAATTTCCGTTTCGTTCTCTGCTCGAACAGACATAGCTGGTTGATGTTCACTTGGAACATAGCCCACACAAAAGACCTGGCCAGAATCAACACTGACCATAACAGCGCCTACGATAGCGTCGCAGCCCAAACCATGGAGTCGAGCCAGATGTCCGATGCCGCCTTGCAGCCATAGTCCTGCACCTACACTTGGGCGAGATCCCAAGGGCACTGTCACGCCTGCCTCCATAGCTTTCCTGATGACGTCTCCCGATGTGCAGCCAGCCTCGACGACGACGAAAGCGCTTGAACCAGAATTGTCAAGCAAGTCTCCCTCTTCTTTACCATGAACATATACTCGGTCGAAGGCACCCATATCGACTGAGATGACGTTGTTCCAAACACAGTGGCCGCTGTGCCTCCCACCGATGATGATCAAGCCGACCGCGTGCTTGAGGGCCCACCGCACACACAGCTGAATGTGGTAGATTTCTGTTGGTCTACAGATTGCCGCTGGCCGACGCAGATGAGCCTCCCGATTCTTGATCTGCCTATCTGTCCTCAGTGCTGGCAACTGTGCTATGAGCTCTGATACTCTGGCCGCATGCTGATTGAAGGCCACCATAACATCTGGCGAGCGGAATGATAGACAGCTGGGATAGGCGTCCTCACGGCGACCTAAAGCTCGACACACCTCCCTCCACTGGACTTGGACAGTCTTTTGCACTTCTTCATCATGCATTACGAAGCCTGCGATGAAGGGAGTAAAGTCGTCCAGGACTTGATCTTTATCTGCCACCCTGACGACTCCTGTCGGGAAAATAGCGGTTCGATGACACACCAAGCCATCAAAAGGCAGATTTCCGTCACGATGGAAAACTAACACTATTCCACCTCTCCTCTCTCCAAGCATTTCCAGAGCCTGTTCAATAGATTTTCGTTTCGATTGGATACCGTACATGCTGTGGCAAAAGAGGATTACGTCGTATCCCCTACCTTCGTTAATGGTGTCACTAATGCTTTTCTGCTTCGTGTTCTGCTGTGGATCAAACGGCAAACGATGAATTGTTGGTGGCCTTTCCAAGCAAGGGAATCGTGACCTCATTATAGCATCGACCGAAAGCCATCCTTCTAGACTTGCTGCAAATAGTTGGTTGGGCTCAAAAGCTTCATATTGTCGGATTTTCCTCCTTTGATGATCTGGGAGACCACCAAGCACGCTCTTGGGGCCAGGCCCAATTTCGAGGGCAGAGATCTGGGACCTCGAGTCGAACAGTGGCGCCAGGACCTGAGTCAATTGTGGGATGATGAAATCCTGATAACATGTCGAACCCTGCACCAAGATATTGAAACCGTTGTCGTACTGTGTATCCGATAATGTCTGCCTTGAAGTCGTTGCCTTGACGCCTGTCTTCGACTGGAGGGCGCTTTTTAAATCTTGCAGAGTAGCCATCTTGTTCGCTTCTCAAACACTCAAGATAAAGTAATAAAGATAGTGGCGTCCACCGACATCAGTCGATTAATAAGAATCTACGCTCTCATGCACTTGCAGGCTCCGGTTGTAAGCAGGCGGCCTTTGATGCCATACCAAGCCTCTGTTGCCTAATGGTAACTTTATCCGAGTATTACTTTCTGCTTTTGAAAGTATCGTAAGTCAATCATATACTAGGATATCGGTCCAATCAAAGTCTAATGCTGGTTGAGCAGGTGGTTCAGTACATATGCATAATAGGCGGGCCGATGTGCCGCCTGCGATAAAAGGTAGGCAGCATGCAGAAAGTGGAAACTGCAATTTTATGTAGGTGTACATATTTGCAATTCGGCGTCTTACACATCGTATTGATACAGCACTGCCATGTGTCACCTTCCAGATGGAGTTTAATCCTCGTAGGGGCAACATGCGCGGATTGCAGGGTGGTTTTCCTCGCCTTATCACAGCGTTGAATGGAAAGTAGCCATGTCGCACACATTCATACTAGTTGTCCACGATTATGGAGCTATAATGAGCGGTTTGTCCCACGTCTGACCGGTTCGTGCCGTGAGCAAAAAGCGCTTAGTGAATGGTTGTGACTCTACGTGCATGTAAGCGCGCACAGCACCTGCAATCTCAGCTTGCGTCTGTTGGGATGTTTCGCCAAGACCGGATAATTGTAATGGACCAATGGCTATTGATTCGCTTTTTTAAGGATTTGAGTCGCAGCAAGATCTTGTTGCCCACGGACTCCAGCTGTGCTCTTATATATCCAGCTGAGTACTTTTTCTGATCACTAAGCTATCAAACAGCTTCTTTCTCTATAAAGGCACGCAGTAATCTTCGTTGAGGCTCTTTTTGAGTAGGACAAGAAGCACTTCTATTCAATAGTTTATTCAACATATCACGTCTCTATACACATTTATGCCTCATGGATTCGAAGTGGAACAGGAATATGCCTGCCTCTAAGCAAGAGACTAGTGGTGCGTGGAGCAATTCATCAGAATTGAAAGCTTGGATGCAGGGCAAATTGCAGGGAAATGAATCAGATGTGGTAGATATGGGCGATGGATATGGTGGAGACAAAGGAGCAGAGAACGGGAACGGCAAAGCGGCCAACAACATAATGCAACGCTCAGAGCCAGAGCAACGAAGACAAGAGACTTGACGCATATCGTTGTTTCCCTAATGCCGGCGATTGAGCAGAGTTGCGCAGCAGGTTCCGCCTTATGGCAGAACAGTTTGTTCAAGTAATTGAAGATTATTATTATTCCATTATAGTCCTGTATCAGCCGTTGGCTATGTAGGACTTTGGCCAAAGGCCGTTCTATCTGACTAGTTACAATTTGGTAC